ATTCATGACCACCTCACCTGCAAACCGCCACGCTGGAGGGTGGTCTCCAGTACAGTGTGAGTCTGACTTACATTAACTTTGGGGGTCAGTCTAGTGTGAATCTGAATGACATTGATTTTGGGGGGGGTCAGGGGGACACAAGTGTCCGGCCCACAGCAACAATCAGTGAGACTAACAGCTGTGTGCCTTTGGAAAAAATCAATAAAGTGAATGCACTTCTAGCCCAAGTGATTAAGAAAAACCAAGAGAAAACACGAATTACCAATGAAACGGAAAATGAGACAAAGCTACAGAACCCACAGACATTAAAAGGGCAACATGTGAAAACCATGGACAGCGTTGTACTCATAAAATCAATAATGTAGATGAAGTAGACCAACTCCTTGAAATACGCAAACTACTCAAATTCACACTAGAAAAGTCCTTTATTAATTAAGGAAAATGCACTCACAGTTTAATCTTCTATGATTTAAACTAAAGAAAATCCCCAGACCAGTTGTTTGCTCTGGTGAATCCTATAATCACTTGAGGAGGGATAACATTAATTCTACACAAGCTCTTTCAGGAAAAAAAAGAAAAGGGAACACTCTCAACCAATGTTATGAAGCCTCCATCAGCATGCCACCACAACCAGACAAAGACATTACAAGAAAACAATAAAATAGTTCTCATGAACATAAGTACAAAAATCTCCACAAATATTAGCAAAATTTAATCCAGCAATATATAAATAAGATCTATTCTGGGCATGCAAGGTTGAGTAAGCATTTGAAAACCAATTAATGTAATTCACAATATTAAATATACAGAGACTCAGGAAGAAAAACCACGATTATCTCAACAGATGCAGAAAAAACATCTAACAAAACTTAATGTCCATTCATAATAAGAACTCTCAGAGATGAAAGAATAGTGGGAAATTTCTTAATCTACTGCTAAGTCGCTTCAGTCATGTCCGACTCTGTGCAACCCCATAGACGGCAGCCCACCAGGCTCCCCTGTCCCTGGGATTCTCCAGGCAAGAACAGTGGAGTGGGTTGCCATTTCCTTCCCCAACGCATGGAAAGTGAAAAGTGAAAGTGAAGTCACTCAGTTGTGTCCGACTCATAGCGACCCCATGGACTGCAGCCTACCAGGCTCCTCCGTCCATGGGATTTTCCAGGCAAGAGTACTGGAGTGGGGTGCCATTGCCTTCTCCATTTCTTAATCTAAGACATCTATAGGTTTCTTAATCTAAGACATCTATAAAAAGCAAAATAAGCATAATAAAAGGCAGAGACATTACTTTGCCCACAAAGGTCCAAATAGTCTAAGCTATGGTATTTCCAGTAGTCATGTATGGATGTGAGAGTTGGATCATAAGGGCTGAGCACCAAAGAATTGATGCTTTTGAACTGTGGTGTTGGAGAAGACTCTTGAGAGTCCCTTGGACAACAAGGAGATCAAACCAGTAATTCTAAAGACAATCAACCCTGAATATTCCTGGAAGGACTGATGCTGAAGCTGAAACGCCAATACTTTGGCCATCTGATGCGAAGATCTGACTCATTAGGAAAGACCCTGATGCTGGGGACGATTGAAGGCAGGAGGAGAAGGGGACTCAGAGGATGAGATGGTTGGATGGCATCACCGACTCAATGGACAGAGTTTGAGCAAGCTCTGGGAGATGGTGAAGGACAGGAAAGTCTGGCGTGCTGCAGTCCATGCGGTGGCAAACAGTTGGACACGACTGAGCAATTGAACGACAACAACACAGTAATTAAGGCAGCAAGGTGTTTCTCTGTGGAAGGTTAGACATGTGGTCAATGCGCCAGGTGGGGTCCAGAAACAGACTCAAAACTATGACCAACTGATGTTTTTATGAAGGTATAAAGGTAATTCAATAGAGAAAGCATCAACTTTTGAATAAATGGTTCTGAAAAAACTAGACTTCATATGCAAAAATAAACAAATCTTGCCCTATGTCTCCCATCTTACCCTAAATTAAAGATAGATCACAGACTTGAGTGCAAAACCCAAAACTGAGTGCAACAGTATGAAATGCTGGACTCAGACATAAAAGAAAAGTCTTTGTAACCGTGGAGTAAGAAAGACTTCTTACAGCTGACACCAAAATCATGACCTATTATTAAAAAATGGATAGGCTGAATTTTGTCAGAGTTAATACTTTCACTCTCCGCAAGGCCCTGTCAAGAATGAAAAAACAACAACAACAAAACAAAACAAAAGAAAAAGAATGAAAAGACAAGTCAGGCTGGGAGCAAACACTACAGAATCTACACACAGGGAGACATGCTGGAGCATTTACATGCGCTCAGAACCCAACAGTTAAGAAGGCAAACAACCCGATCTTCTCTTGATGGACAAAGACTTGAGCAGACAGCTTACAAAGAGGATCTGTGGATGGCAAAGAGACTCACGAAAAGATGCTCAACGTTATCGGTCATGAGGGAAACACAAATCAAACCCACAAGTGGCCCAGCTCCTAAAACGGCTTGGTACACTGGGCACACCAGGGACTTGGAGCAGCGCAGAGCTCCGTCCCTGTGACAGGGACGCGCCGGCACAGCCGCCCAGGCAAGCAGAGTGGCCGTCTCTTGCAAAATTAAGCACACACACGCCCATCATCCGAATCAAAGGAAAACCTGTGTGCAGAGAAACCTGTGTGTGAATGTTCACCACAGCTCTACTCACAGTCGCGCAGCCTGGAAACAGCCCAGAGGCCTCAGCGGCTGGGAGGGCCAGTGCAATGAGACGCCCACACCGCAGGTGCCGGCCGCTCGGACACTCAGGCGCAGGATGCGGAGCTGGGGGCGGGTGGGGTTCTGGCTGCAAACGGAGAGCAGGAGGGAAACCTTGGGGGGAGGACTTGCTCAGTGCTGTCTCCCTACACTGCCAGAAAGGACACAGCTCAGAAAAGTCCCATGCGGCCCAGGACACCTCATCTCTAGCCAGGGTCAAGGGGTCAAGGTGTCTCCTGGCCAAGCAGGAGACACCCTCCTTGGTGGGGGTGGCCCAAGGCCCACAACACGGCCATGAACACAAAGGCCCAGGCCTCTCCCCCGTGCAGGCAGGACAGCCCGGAAACACCAGGGAAGGGAGGTCCCGGGAGGTGGCCCCGGCTGCAGGACGGTGCCTGGTGCTCTAACCGGGACAGCAAGCTGTGTGCATTGGCTTCTATGTTTATAGCGCAGAGAGAAATTTTAAACACGATTTTATGGTTAAGATGTCATTTTAATCTTGAACGTGAATAGGGAAAGAGTGATGCCAGTTATCATCTGGCAAGAATGAAATCCAGGCTGGCAGGACGTTCTCCATGATCACTAGCACTAACAGAAAATAACTGCTTCAAAGGAAAAATAACATTTAAGATTTGCTTCCTACAAACCCGATAAGTAATGAATATGGGAACGTTTCCTCTTCTGAAAACACAACCTTTCCCAAAGCACTCTACTGTTAGGCCTACTCTCTGCTCCACAGGCCCCGGGGTGGCAGGACCCAGCACCCTGCAAACTCAAATGCAAACCCTGTCACCTGCGAGAACACCGTCTGCCCTCACATGTTTTCACCTCTTTGGGCAAGAGATGGTCTGTAAGCTCCTAGGGCCTCCGAGCATCCAGACCCCTCGGTAAGGCCGAGGCTTGGGGACTGTGGGATGCGGGTGGGGGGGGCCATGTGGCCAGCACGAGAAGGTGCAGTGTGACGCGGGCTGTCGGGGGGCCCAATCGGGGGTGGGGGGCCGCTGAGCAGCCATGGCAGAGCAGGGCCGGGAGGCAGACCCTGAGGAGCCAGTCGGCCAAGTCAGCCTGTCCCTGCCGTGCACTACTCCACCCTCTCTTCCTGGTCCACACCGCTAACAAAGCGCTGCGGCAGGAGCCTGGCTGAGATGAAAAGGTGTCTGCTGGGCCCCCCTTCCTCATGGAGGAGGCTGCCAGGGAGGAGCCGTCAGGGACATGAGGGCAGGAAGGCCCTGAGGTCACTGCCAAGGCCACCGCGTGTCCCCGTGCAGCACTCAGAGCCCGAGTGGGGCGCTGGCCTGGCGGGCGGGGGCACCCGAGCGGGCGTCAGCAGGTGACCACAGTCACGCCAGGCCCAGTGTGACCGGCGGGGAGGGGGCTGCGGGCCGCGGAGCAGCCTGGGCTGCAGATCAGCCACCTGCAGGGACCGAGCTGCTCTCAGAGGCGGGCGGACAGGCGGCTGCTCCGCGGGGCTTCTCCCAGCCGAGTGCACCTGCCCTCCGCCCCATCCGCTAACACACATGCCGAACTTCAGAGGGCACGAGGCTGCGGCTGGCATCATCTGGGGGCAGAACTGCCCACCAAACAAGGCTGGGGGCCCAGAACCAGAGGCTCAGCTCTGGGCCTGCGGGCAGACACGCCAGAGACACGGGGGCCCAGGAGGACGGCCAGGGCAGCCCAGCTCCAAGGGCACCGTGGCCGCCGGTTACAGGCAGCCTGCTGGGGGCTGGTCCCCGCACGCCAACCCCCCGGGGAGGGACAGCCTGCACCCCCGCCCTCCCGGGGGGGCCTGCATCTCTCTGGTAGCCACGCAGCACTCTCACCCTGTGAGCAGTGATTGATCCCACCCAGGAAGCCCCACCTCTCTTATCTGGTCAGGAAAAGCAGTTCAGAACCACCAGGCAGGCCCCTCTCCGGTGAGAAGGCCCGCCCCGCCCGTGACGTCCACTGTGTGGTATCAACAACAGGGTCAGCCCGGGACTCACAGTGCTTGTCCTCAGTCTGAGGGGAAAAGCCTGCTCGGTATTTTATTAGGTTCTTGCATCAACAAGTAAAACCAGAAAATGCAGAAGGGGAAGCGAGGTTCCCATCTGAAGCCCACAGCCTGGAGGTCACCCGTGTGTGCTGCCCAGGGGTCCTGGAGCCCACCTGCAACCAAGCCCTCCCGCGACTGAGCTCCCTGGTGGTTGTGAACGGTCATGACTGATGCCACAACATGGCCAGGAGACCCGGGAGTGCGGGGCAGGGGTGGGGGGCGCTCACCTCCAGCAGCAGCCTTCCCTCCAGCATGGCTGAGCCTGTGGACCCTCCACGTGGACCCCGGTCTCCTGGCGAGGGGGCAGCAGCTACCGGCTTCCTCGGGCGCCTCTCCTGCAGGGCTGAGGGGGGCACGGTCAGTCACGCTCTTCCTGTGTCCCCGGCTCCCACCCTCTGCCGGCACACCAGCCCAGGTCTGCTCTCCTCCCAGGTACCCAGGGCAGCGCCGGACAGCTGGTGGGGGACATTCAGGGATGGGGCTTCTCGACTGGCTGCACTCCAAAGACCCCACCCCGCCCTGCCCTCGGCCTCCCCAATGAGCCTCTTAACCCCCTTCCCACCTCAGGGACCCTCCAGGGGTCCCAAAGCTCCCCTCTCAAGACCCAAGCCTAGGCAGGTCCCCAAACTGGACACCACTGTTCAAGGGAACCAGTCACCAGGAGCCCTGCACACCCCTTCCCGTCTCTCCGTCCTGGAGCCCTGGCCTGACCCAGACTGGAGCGACCAGTGCCCTGCGGACCCCCACCCCTGCCAGAGCCCCCTGCTGCCCGCCACCGCCACTCTGGCCTCATCTGCACTTGAGGTGAAGCATTCAGACAGACAGATGTCCACATCCCAGCCCTGAACTCCACGCTCTGTCATCAGCTCCTAGAGTAATGAGGGTTCCCAACCAGGAGCCGGCCTGGTGCTGATGCCTCCATGGAGGCCTCTAGGACTGCGCTTCCACTTCCCCTGATTTGGGGGGTGTCAGTGCCACCAAGGGCCCTGCAGGCCATCACCACCTTGTCTTGTGTTGGGGTAAAATACAAGCACAGAGCAGAGCTCCCCAACACCTCTTCCCAAACCAGAAGTTGTGCTAAACACTCCCTCCAGGGACCATGGGGTTCCCCAGGAGCTGGTCAGAAATGCAGGGTCCCAGGCCCCCAGTTTCCCTCCAGGTTGGGTGGGGCCCACTGCAGACAGAGACCCCTCACACACTCATTCACATACAGACACATGCACACACACACACAGACACATACAGAAACACACACACAGACATACACAGACACACATATACACACACACACAGACACATACAGAAACAGACACATACAGACATACACACACACACAGAGACACACACAGACATACACACACACACAGAGACACATACAGACACACACAGAGACACACAAACACACAGAGACACACACAGAAACAGACACAGAGATACACAAGTCACGCACACACATACAGAGACACACACAGTCACACACACACACAGGGACACAGACGTGCAGATACACACAGAGACACAGAAACACCAGACATACACAAACACCAGACATACACAGGCACACGCGCGCACACACACACACACACACACACACACACATAAGGACACACACAGGGACACAGACACGCACACATCCAGGCAGCAGCCAAACTGACCACCCCTCTACCTCCCTGGTCCAGGCTGAGGGTGTCCACAGGAACACAGGCCTCCTCCGGAAGCCCTGGCCCGCCCCCGTGGTCCCCTCAGTGGCCCTGCCGTGGCCTCTGTCCCCTCTCCTCAGAAGCTGCGCTCCATCCCCTCCCCCCTCCTCAGAAGCTGCGCTCCATCCCCTCCCTCCTCCTCAGAGCTGCGCTCCATCCCCTCCCCCCTCCTCAGAAGCTGCGCTCCATCCCCTCCCCCCTCCTCAGAAACTGTGCTCCATCCCCTCCCTCCTCCTCAGAGCTGCGCTCCATCCCCTCCCTCCTCCTCAGAAGCTGCGCTCCATCCCCTCCCTCCTCCTCAGAAACTGCGCTCCATCCCCTCCCTCCTCCTCAGAAGTTGAGCTCCATCCCCTCCCTCCTCCTCAGAGCTGCGCTCCATCCCCTCCCCCCTCCTCAGAAGTTGCGCTCCATCCCCTCCCTCCTCCTCAGAAGCTGCGCTCCATCCCCTCCCCCCTCCTCAGAAGCTGCGCTCCATCCCCTCCCTCCTCCTCAGAGCTGCGCTCCATCCCCTCCCTCCTCCTCAGAAGCTGCACTCCATCCCCTCCCTCCTCCTCAGAGCTGCGCTCCATCCCCTCCCTCCCTCCTCAGAAGCTGCGCTCCATCCCCTCCCTCCTCCTCAGAAACTGCGCTCCATCCCCTCCCTCCTCCTCAGAGCTGCGCTCCATCCCCTCCCTCCTCCTCAGAAACTGCGCTCCATCCCCTCCCTCCTCCTCAGAAGTTGAGCTCCATCCCCTCCCTCCTCCTCAGAGCTGCGCTCCATCCCCTCCCTCCTCCTCAGAGCTGCGCTCCATCCCCTCCCTCCTCCTCAGAGCTGCGCTCCATCCCCTCCCTCCTCCTCAGAAACTGCGCTCCATCCCCTCCCCCCTCCTCAGAAGTTGCGCTCCATCCCCTCCCCCCTCCTCAGAAGCTGCGCTCCATCCCCTCCCCCCTCCTCAGAGCTGCGCTCCATCCCCTCCCTTCTCCTCAGAGCTGCGCTCCATCCCCTCCCTCCTCCTCAGAAGTTGCGCTCCATCCCCTCCCTCCTCCTCAGAAACTGCGCTCCATCCCCTCCCCCCTCCTCAGAAGTTGAGCTCCATCCCCTCCCTCCTCCTCAGAGCTGCGCTCCATCCCCTCCCTCCTCCTCAGAAGTTGCGCTCCATCCCCTCCCCCCTCCTCAGAAGTTGCGCTCCATCCCCTCCCTCCTCCTCAGAAGCTGCGCTCCATCCCCTCCCCCCTCCTCAGAGCTGCGCTCCATCCCCTCCCCCCTCCTCAGAAGTTGCGCTCCATCCCCTCCCCCCTCCTCAGAGCTGCGCTCCATCCCCTCCCTCCTCCTCAGAGCTGCGCTCCATCCCCTCCCTCCTCCTCAGAAGCTGCGCTCCATCCCCTCCCCCCTCCTCAGAAGTTGCGCTCCATCCCCTCCCCCCTCCTCAGAAGCTGCGCTCCATCCCCTCCCTCCTCCTCAGAAGTTGCGCTCCATCCCCTCCCCCCTCCTCAGAGCTGCGCTCCATCCCCTCCCTCCTCCTCAGAGCTGCGCTCCATCCCCTCCCTCCTCCTCAGAAGCTGCGCTCCATCCCCTCCCCCCTCCTCAGAAGTTGCGCTCCATCCCCTCCCCCCTCCTCAGAAGCTGCGCTCCATCCCCTCCCTCCTCCTCAGAAGTTGCGCTCCATCCCCTCCCTCCTCAGAGCTGCGCTCCATCCCCTCCCTCCTCCTCAGAAGCTGCGCTCCATCCCCTCCCCCCTCCTCAGAAGTTGCGCTCCATCCCCTCCCTCTTCAGAGCTGCGCTCCATCCCCTCCCTCCTCCTCAGAAGCTGCGCTCCATCCCCTCCCCCCTCCTCAGAAGCTGCGCTCCATCCCCTCCCCCCTCCTCAGAAGCTGCGCTCCATCCCCTCCCCCCTCCTCAGAAACTGTGCTCCATCCCCTCCCTCCTCCTCAGAGCTGCGCTCCATCCCCTCCCTCCTCCTCAGAAGCTGCGCTCCATCCCCTCCCTCCTCCTCAGAAGTTGTGCTCCATCCCCTCCCTCCTCCTCAGAGCTGCGCTCCATCCCCTCCCTCCTCCTCAGAGCTGCGCTCCATCCCCTCCCTCCTCCTCAGAAACTGCGCTCCATCCCCTCCCTCCTCCTCAGAAGTTGTGCTCCATCCCCTCCCTCCTCCTCAGAGCTGCGCTCCATCCCCTCCCTCCTCCTCAGAGCTGCGCTCCATCCCCTCCCTCCTCCTCAGAAACTGCGCTCCATCCCCTCCCCCCTCCTCAGAAGTTGCGCTCCATCCCCTCCCCCCTCCTCAGAAGTTGTGCTCCATCCCCTCCCCCCTCCTCAGAAGCTGCGCTCCATCCCCTCCCCCCTCCTCAGAGCTGCGCTCCATCCCCTCCCCCCTCCTCAGAGCTGCGCTCCATCCCCTCCCTCCTCCTCAGAAACTGCGCTCCATCCCCTCCCCCCTCCTCAGAAGTTGCGCTCCATCCCCTCCCCCCTCCTCAGAAGTTGTGCTCCATCCCCTCCCCCCTCCTCAGAAGCTGCGCTCCATCCCCTCCCCCCTCCTCAGAGCTGCGCTCCATCCCCTCCCTTCTCCTCAGAGCTGCGCTCCATCCCCTCCCTCCTCCTCAGAAGCTGCGCTCCATCCCCTCCCTCCTCCTCAGAAGCTGCGCTCCATCCCCTCCCTCCTCCTCAGAGCTGCGCTCCATCCCCTCCCTCCTCCTCAGAAGCTGCGCTCCATCCCCTCCCTCCTCCTCAGAAGCTGCGCTCCATCCCCTCCCTCCTCCTCAGAAGCTGCGCTCCATCCCCTCCCTCCTCCTCAGAAGTTGCGCTCCATCCCCTCCCTCCTCCTCAGAAGCTGCGCTCCATCCCCTCCCTCCTCCTCAGAAGCTGCGCTCCATCCCCTCCCTCCTCCTCAGAAGCTGCGCTCCATCCCCTCCCTATTCCTCAGAAGCTGTGCTCCATCCCCTCCCTCTCCTGTAGGAGAGACAACCCATTTCCCAGCAGAAGGTGCTGAGCTCCAGGAAATAGGACAGTCCACCTGGGCCCCGGGCAGAGACACAGATGGCCAGGCTCCCTCTCCACGAAGGGGAGGTTCTCTCTCCCTCCAGCAGCGGAGCCCCTCTCATGGTTGCTGGTTTTCAAGGCACCGAAAAATCTCTGAGCTCAGAAGCCAGAGGAGCTAACACTTAATCCCTTGTGTGTGCCTCTCTGCTCAGAAAGCAGAAGGGTGAGTGCCCAAGACTCCTGGAGCCAGCCCTTCCTGACCGGAGGCTCAGTGAGACCAGGAGCTGTGCTGGGGTCTGCAAGAACCTCCTGGGGCCCGGGCGCACCACCCCCCTGCCCCCCCGCCTCTGACTGAGGACCACGCAGCCTGGCTCCAGAGGCTGAGAAACCCAGGAGGGAGTGGGCTGGGGCCCAGGCCCACTCCCATTCCTGCTGCGGGCTTCCCAGAGGGTCCGGCCCAACCGCCCACCCAGAGGCCACGTCTCCCAGGTGGTCTGAGGCCAGGAGGAGGGGGGCAGGACCCCACTCCTCAACCCAGGGCACCAGGGCTGTCCCCTCCAGGACCCAGACCAGCGAGGCCTCCTAACGGACCCACTGCAAAGCTCACTGCGGGCACCCCCCCACCAAGGGGAAGGGAAGGTTTGGGGACAGGCTTCCAGGCTCTCCTGCTTCTCAGCCCTGCAGCCCCCGAGT